CTCTCGAGGTCCCTTCCAGTCCTAGAATCTATGAATCTATGAATCTAATTTTCTAATGTAGACCAGCCCTTATTGGTGGGAGGGTGTGTGTGGAAGAGTTTGCATTAGAGCTCTGTCCTTGTGTGGGAGCTCCAGTGAGGATCAGTACTAGTACAAGGGGCTAATCACATGGATCTGTTGGTAACAGAGAATGCTTCACAGTGTGGTAACGTAGGAATTGAATTGCCAGACTAGATCAGGCCCAGAGGCATCTAGTTCAATATCCAACAGTGGCCAGTACCAGATGTATTAAAGATACAAGAAACCCCATAGTAGGCAGTTTGGGGACAACCAAAATCCTAAATATTGGGAGTAGGATTAAGTCCCAAAATGACTACCAGTTATTTTCTATAACTTCCTAAAGAGGTATCTAGCAGAACTGCAATAAACAGAGAATGTCTGGAGATTCAACTCTTTTATTATGGAAGTCTATAAAATAGCCACATTGATTATTTTTTAAGATCACAAAATACACAACATCCATTTTAATATGTGACACATAATATTATATACACATTAAAAACCACATGACTGAAACACATGTTCACACGGCACCAAATTCATAACCAAAAAATCCCCACAAGTGCTTTTTCTTAAGATTAAAAACAACTGCAATAAAAACATATTAATATTTTTTCCAGACAAAGTTTACAATAAAGAGAAAAAATTCATATCTTACTAAATAACAAATATTTAACAGCAAAACTTTTATACTAAATATCTATTTTGAATTATAACAAAAATAGTACTTATAATAGTTTATAAAGACAGACCAAAAAAATTTGTGTATAAAATAATATTATAGCGAATTGGACTGTGCTAGGGAAAAAAATTCTGAGATTCAAAGTGCTTTATTCTGCAAACCCACTGCAGCAACTTTTTTTTAGTCAAGTTATATTAGTTAGGAATGGTAAATCAAAAGCATGATCTATCTATGTCTAGATAAAATACACACACACACACACATATAATAGATAGATGTATGCATCTTACATTATCTCTCTCCGGTCATTTATTCATTCAAAAGCGTGTTTGGTTTTTATTTTGTAATGAAATTTTAAAAAATGAAAACCCTTCACTGATCTCCTGAGACTCCAATGCCCTTCTAAAAGTATCTCAGAAAACACTTTGCTAATGATTATTTGACGGGGTTTGATCTGAAGCCAATTGAAGTAAATGGAAAAACTTCAACGGACTTCGTATGGGGCCTTTTATCCCTCCCCACCCTGCTTTTCTCATTACCTGTAGCCTCTCACTTCTCCTTCCCTTGTCCTCTGTGTCCCCACCAAATAGTGTTTTCAAAAAGATTGTGGGGTTGCAAGTGGCTTTTACAGACAGCTTGAAAACAGAATTTATCAAGGCCTGAAAACTGGGTATGACATATAAAAAAAGAGTGGTTCTCTAGCTTTCTTACCCTATGGACCACCTCCATTCCCAACGCCCTCTTCTCCATCATTCTCAAAATGTTTAATTCGGTGGATCACCAGGAAATATGTGGAGACCCACAGACTGACACATTTCTATCCGGGACAGGAAATGGCAGAAATTTCACAAGAAAGCCTGATCTTGTGAAGTTTCCATCGAAAGTTAGACCCGGAGAGTGTGAAGACCCAAACTTGGATTGCAAAGTTTCTGAGTGTGGGACATGGGCCTGAGCCACACATAGCTGCGGAGGATTTAGATCTGTGTTTTGGTTCAAACAGCCATAGAGATTATGGGCTAGCTGCCAAATCCGAATCTGGACCTGAACTTCAGAGTTCAGAGGCTACAGCGTCTCGGTTCAGGCCAATCCCTGTTAAAATAAAAACCTGCTATGAAACGGCCACAGAGAGATTATAGAGCAGCAAGCCTCAGAAACGACCACATGAACGCTGAGTCTCCCAAGTCACATGCACTCATGGAAGCAGAGCTCATACATGTGTGTGTTTGTCGGTCTATGCGCTTCTATATGATTTTTGGCAGCATAGTTTCAAGTGATGATTAAATCTTTAGTGTCTCCCCTTCCAGGGAACTGCCAAAGTCTTTATTGATCCTGGACGGATGAACGGCTGGCTAGAGCAGCCTTCAGCATCTTTCACTCAGCACTGCCTTAGAGCCTTCCACTGACTCATCCCAGTTTCCAAAAGCCACGCCTGCAAACCCTGCACAGGCCTGGTGGGAAGCTCCCACCCCTCCTTCCTTCAGATTTCAGCTTCTCTGACTTATCCTGACAAGCCGCCCACCCACAACAGTTTCATTGGCACCCAGGTCGAGGGAGTTCTCAGCTCTGGCTCTTGTGTTTCTCCTTCTCTGCCCGATGAACTGTATGAGGTGCCCCTGTTACAGCAAATATATCCGAGAGAGAGGGTGAGCACACTGAAAGGTCTGGGTAAAGTCAGTGCTTGCAGCTCAGATGAACAGCACGCCTGTCTTGGACAATTGCGAGAGAGATTTCTCTTCCCTGAGACTGCCAGTCATTGACCATGGCCGCTACAAAGTAGAAGCGGTACATGTGGTTTGCCTGGTGCCAGCTGCCAAACCTGTGCCCTGCCACTATTAAAGCAAAAAGAGATGTTGCTCCTGACTCAGGGCAGAAGTGCTGAGTGCCCACCGTGCCAGCTGAAGCAGGAATTGGACATGCTCAGCACCTCTGGAAAAAAAAATCAGACTGGTAACTTTTTAAATTCGAGATGGCCCTGAACCAAAACGCCAGATCCAAACATGTCTGAATGCTGAGGATCCAAATACTACAATACAGACCTCGCTTTCTTTCAGAGGAACACCCCCATTTCAAGTGTGACTGGGCAGTATACGAAGTTCCCAGTGTCTCTAAAAAGGGGTTGCATTGATGGCAGCTCACATGCCCTGACAAACACTCCCAGGACAGCTTCTCACTTCAGTTGGATGCCGCGGAGGGAAGGGTTAGCTCAGAGGGAGCCTTCCACTCATCTCCAACACTCTTTAATGCAAGCACCTCTGTGGTCAGGGGACGGTGGCAGCTGTGGGTGTGACTACCAGTTAATTTTTGGAGGCTTGGTTCTGCAGCGGTTCCATGAACAAAACAACTGCATGCTCTGAGCCACGTTACTTAGCAGCACCCCAGTACAGTTTATGAAGTACATGTGGTTCAGAGTTCAGTGCACACACCGAGGGGCCTGAGAGATCCGGAGAGAAGGCAAAAACAATACAGCTCACTGCAAAACTCTGGGTTTGGGAGGGATCAGACAGGGTGGGGGTAGGGGGAATGGACAGTTACACACATGCCATGTAGCAGCAGCAGGCAACTTCAAAAATGTACACGTCGGAGACCCCAGTTCTACTCTCTGAACTGAGATCGGCCCACGCTGAAGCGGATGAGAGACTCTCATCAGAGGGCAGAATTTGGCCATTACTTTGTCTCACAGTACAGATCAAATGGCTTTCTTGTTCACAATGCATAGGCAGAATAGAACGCCCTGTCCAGCTGACCCTGCCGCGTTTAGTGGCCCAGTGGTCCTTGCAGCAACACCAGTGGCCATGCCAGAAGCCAAACTGGTGCCGGGTTCAGTTTGCGTGCCGTTACCCAGAATGCACTTCCCAGCATTTGTGGGCAGGGGCCGCTGTCATCTGAACACAGAGTTCTTTTCCCCACATGCTGTGAGAGACAAATCAGAACTGGAAAGCGTTTAGAAGGGTTTAGGGATTGGGAGTGTGGGGATTTTTTCTTCGTTCTCTCCAAAGAAAGCAAAACAAAACAAACACTGTTATCACCAACTAATTTAACACTGTTCAACAAGATCAAAGGCCACCAGAGGTAGCAGCCTGCCATCAGATCTCGCCAACACCTCCTGGCCTGGTTCCAAGGAGGCGCGTGGGGCAGTCAGACCTCTGATCGCTAGCTAATTTCAAAAGCTTTTCCCGCAGCAGGCATCCTCTGCCCTCCTCCTTGCAGCAGAAAGGTTTATATATATATATATATATATATATTTATATACTGTGTATGGTCAGGCAGTCCCAGCTCTACTAGTGTTTGAAATTCTTCTTAAAACATAACAAAAAAACCAAACCAGCCAATCTCCTTGTACTTTCCCCACAGAAATAACAATCATTTTGGCAGCTTTGCTGTGGGAGAAAGTCTCGACCAGGAGGTTCTGCAAGGTTAGTGTTGTGGAGAAGCTTCTTTTCCTGTTTTCTCCTTTCGTTCTGTCCCTTTTCCCACCCACCCCCATTGGCCCTCCCCCGGTGAAGGAAAAGTCGGCTTACACTGTCGCCCCCAGCATGGCTTCTGTCTCCGTCAGGATCTCGTTCTGGTTGGAATCCAGTCCGAAGAATTTGACCTTGAGTCCATCGACGGGGTGGACCACAGGGACCAGCGTGATTCTAGGGAAAGTCCTGGTGGCTAGCTCGAATCGGCTCGTGCTGGCCAGCTCAATGGCTAGTGCCTTGAGGAAAAGCTTGGCCAGGTGCTTGCCAAGACAGGTCCGTACGCCCCCGCCAAAGGGGAGGTAGTGGAACCTGCCGTCTTTGTCTTCGGTACGGTCTTGCCCGAAGCGGTCAGGGTCAAAGACGTCCACGTCCTTGAATACTGGGGCGGTGTCGTGTGTGTCCCGGATGCTGTACATGACGCTCCAGCCTTTGGGGATCTGAAAGCCCTACAGAGAGGGAGACAGGGGAGAGAAAAACAAGAATGCATCAACGGTAACGTAGCCATCCACAGAACGAGACCACGTGAGCTGGGACGCTGCCGATACTGGGGACTCTGTTTGAGATCCGCGATCATGAATAGAATATACTGAAGGATTAACGGGGAAACACCCTGCCTTGTGATTAGGGTAGGACTGTGGGGTTCTCTTTCTGACCTACTGGGGAATCAATTATTTATTTGTATTGTGGTAGCGTGTACAATCCCCAATTATGGGCCAAGACCCAATTGTGCTCAGCACTGTATAAATGCAGAACAAAGACGCTTAAAAGGACTTCGGTCACTGTGAAAGTCTTTCTGTCTGAAATATTTTTACCTACTATCGTTACATGTGGTATCCAAGATATCCAGAATTTAATGACAGAACAACTTTATTTTTCCCAGTGTGTTTTCAGTCCGTGTGATCTAGTATGTAGGATGCTGGACTGGAAGTCAAGAAACCTGGGTTCTCTTCCCAGCACTGCAGTTCTCCTGCTGGGTGACCCAGGCAAATCATTTATTTCTCTGTGCTTCTGTTTCCCCTCTCTTCCTTTATCAGACTTGTGTATTTAGACTGCAAGCTCTTTGGGGCAGGGACTCTCTCTCTTTCACTGGGTATCTGTACAGCACCTGATGTAATGGGGCACTGACCTCAGCTGGGACCTGGAGGCACTATCGTAATACAAGCAAATACTAATTTGTACATTAGTGAATGTGAATAGTCAGTTTTGATGAGTCCTTGGTGGAGTCCAGCTAGGCTCCAACCCAGCAGGCACTTCGCCGCCAGTGCAACCTTTTCGCGTGCGTGCAAGTGGTTGCAAGATTAGAATCTTTGCTTCCCTTGGTGTTTGTATGGGTCTTTCCCAAGAACAGGAGAGTGAATTTGCAAAAGAAAAGAAAAAAAGGGGTGCCCGTAAAAGCACAAGGAACGGCAGAGGGCGGCTGAGGCAAGTGTAGAACATAAAACTACTTCGAACTCATTTTTGAAAACTAGCTAGATTGAAATCACTGCCATTCCTTTAATCATTGTCCCTCTTTTATTAAATCTGGAGTAACTCCATAAGCTTTAGATTTAACTGGTGAAACAGACATCACCGTCTAGCCCACCATATGGCAAAGGGGAAAACTTTTCTCCCATCTCTGCTGTTATCCCTCACATTATTCAGAGCTCCCCAAGCCAGTGTCCAGATAAGCTGTATCGTAGTCCACAGCATCACCTATTCACATACACACGTATTTTCACACACCCATAATGTGTGAGTGAGTGCATGGGTGTGCAGAGACTGCACTGATGAGAAAAAAAAGGGGTGATTTATCATCCCCTGTTTACTTGAAAAGGTTTCAACCTCAAATCATGCCATTAGCAGAGTTTACTGTGACTGACGGGTCTCAAGATTTTCTTTTGCTGGCACAAAATTCCATCCATTATGATGAGTAATATCCCTATCATCCAAAAATCTGTAACTGCCCTTTGCCCCTTTCCCCCGTCACACCCCAATCTCTGGCTTCAGAGATGGCCACATGTTTCTCTTTTAGAATATCAAACTTTTCTCCCCTTTGGCTGCCTGAAAGTTCTGGTGCCAAATGATGGGCTGGATTCCGATCTCAGTTCCACCAATGTAAATCCAGAGTAATTGCACTGATCTGCCAGCGGTATGACTTTAATTTGTCCTCTTTGCGGGCCAGATCCTGACTAAATTGCTAAGTGGCTTGCAAGTCACACCCAAGAGTTGTGCTATTGTGTGCAACCCCTGTAATATCGTGGTGCACAAGTCAGCCCAGGAACGTGCGTGAACGTGTAGACAAACACAAATGTCCTGTGTGCGATTGGGAAAATGCTTTTGCATGACATGAGGTCACCTGATCTCCCCCTAAAAAGGAGATTTCATATATTGCAAAAACTTTCCTCTCTGAGAAAGCCTTTTACCACAGGTCAGATTCACAGTACAAACACCCCTTCTACTCCAAACCCCTGTCCGCTCACCAAAAAACTACCCCAACCAAAGCTTTGACTCTGAAAAGGGAGAAGAGGCAGAGACTCCATAAAGTCCACTGGGGACTTCACTATTGCCATTGATTTTATGTGGAAGACGCTCAGATGCTACAGTGATAGGTGGCAGTATAAAACCCCAAGACAGATATATTGTGTCTCTAGATCACCGGTGTTTCTATGACCTCCACTGCTGGGAATGCATTACTATACTACCACGTTTGCTGGATAGTTCTGGTTATGGGAGAACTTTCTATATAACTCTTCCACCCGATTTTCACTTCCTTACAACTTTCTGAAAAACTCTCAACTCTGGAGCTCAACCCAGAACTGACTTTTTTAAGCTTCCCCGATGGGCAGATTATTCTACAATTGACTACTACAAGGCACCTTTCCTTGACACGTTCGGTACAGGCAGCCTTCTACATGCAAGATTCCCCAGTGACTCTGATGGGAGCTGTACCAAGGGCAGCTCACGTGCCTTGCAGAACATGCTGGGACACCCTCTCATTTAGATTGGGTGTGACAAAGGGAAGAACTAGCTTGGAAGGAGATTTATGGGATCAGACCTGTGGTCTATCTGGTCAAATAGAGTAGTTTCTAGGTCCCTTTGTTTGGAAGTTTGAGCAAAATCTATTCAATCATTTTTGAGCTATGCCCCAACATTCAGACATGTTCACTGATAAGCACACAAATTGTCAGGTGGATAGTTCTACATCCCTACAGGCCTGGTTGCAAAATAAATACAACATATATAGATATATATATATATATATCAGTTTCCAGCTTTCAGAAGTTTTGCACCAGCCTGTATGTGGTAGAACCTTTCACTTACATTCAAGTTTGTTAGACAGATTATACTTCTTACATATATATATATATTGTCATTGATTGTAGCACATGGCACATCTTGTAATGTTCCATTGATCATGGACTGTTCGGATGTTCTTGCAGAGTAAGGGCATTCTACCTGGATGACTCAGCAGCCTCTGTGGGTTAATGTTGGGGATCCACTAGACCACAACTTCACCAGTGCAAGAGTGAGATCTGGTCTGATTTCATGAGCTAAGCAGGTCTGAGCCAGAACAGTCATTGGATAAGACACCTATGAGGGGGAAAAGCCAGGGTGGTACAAGCATAGGTGAGTCAGCAGAAAGTGGCCCTCTAATAACAAGAATTTCCGCTATAACCGGGCGGTTCATCAGTTGGAAACGACAGAGGAGGAGAAAGATCTGGGTGTATTAGTCGATCACAGGATGACTATGACTCACCGATGTGATGCAACTGTAAACAAAAAAAACCCACAGATGTGATCCTAGGATGCATCAGGCAAGGTATTTATGCCACTGAACAAGGCACTGGTAAGACACCATCTGAAATATGGTGCACAGTTCTGGTCACCCATCTTCAAGAAAGAGGAATTTGAAGTGCACAGAAGGGCTACTAGGATGATCAGTGGACTGGAGAGCCTGTCTTCCAAGAGGAGACTAAAAGAGCTCGGCTTATTTAGGCTGAGAGGGGATCTGATTGCTCTCTCTAAGGACATCAGCAGGGTAAACACCAAGGAGGGTGATGAGCTATTTAAAATAAAGGACAAGGGTGGCACAAGAGCAAATGACCATAAACTGGCCAGGTGTAAACTGAGGCTGGAAATGTGAAGGAGGTTTCTAACCATCAGAGGAGGGAGGTTCTGGAACAGCCTCGGAATAAGAACAGGGGCGAGGGGCAAACAACCAAACTGGTTTTAAGATGGAGCTTGAGAAGTTTATGAACGGGATGATATGACGGGGTGACCTGCGATGGCAGCGACTGGACTCAGTGATCCAGGAGGTCCCTTCCAGTCCTACGTTCTTTCTGAGTCCGTACTCAGCCAATGCCCCTGTGTAGTGCTGTGCCATTGGAGGGGCGGTCTTGCATTTCTGCTGAAATGTAAACCCAGGCCCTAGTGCTTATGCTCATGTCAAATCTGGCCAAGCTCCAGTGTCAGGAGAACACTCGGGAGAAATATCCTATTCCCTAACACCCCTTCCCCCATACTTTAAAATGGATCTGGCACATCTTGCCCCCTGTCCTATACTTGTGTAACATTGGCCTGCACGGGTATAAAACCTGCCAGGTTCCACCCCAGAGGTGGCTATATTCCAGTGGGAAGGTGCAGAGATTCCTGCCTGCGTCTCTATAAAATACTCTGAAGCCCCTTTTCGGGGGAGAAGGTGCGCGAGACACGTCAGAGCTCCTGGGCTGTGGTACTCACGTCCAGCTCGAAGGTCTGCAGCACCGTCCGGTACCCGCCGGAGATGGGGGTGAAGAGACGTAGCACCTCCTTGATCACGCAGTCCAGGTAGTGGAGACTGCTGATGGTGTCCAGCCGGAGGGAGCCCTCACAGATGCAGCCGTTGTGCAGGATGCCCTTGCTGCGGAGCTCTTCACGAAGCTTCTCCAGGACCCCGGGGTGCTTTAGGAGCTGCATGATCAGAGAGGTGCTGGCGCTGGCCGTGGTAGCGTAGGCAGCGAAGATCAGCTCCAAGGTGCCATCCTGAAGGCCAAAAGGAACCCTGGGTTATACACTGGGAAGCTCACAGCCTCAGGTACCCGGCCCCATGCATCACGCTGCTGCAGTACGTGCTTCCTATGGGGCACATGCTAAAATGGGTTCATGCCCCAGCCGTCCACTAGCAGAAGCTAGAACCTGGCACAGCTGGAAGGAGTTTGGTTTAGCCTCAGCCTGGTACCCAAAGAGATTTTATTTGCAACAGACAATTTGGCACAACAGGCAAGCTTTCCTCAGGGCTGCTGCACGTCAACGGGGTAACCCATGGGAGGTGCCACAGAGCAGAACCGCAGGGCATTGGCAGCGCTGTCAGGAGAACCGGTTGGAGGAAGCTCCCGCAGTATTTAGCTTGTACGCCCATAAGGGCAAGGATCTTCTCTCCAGGGCGCGTGTACAGAGCCTAGCACAATGGGGCCCAGATCCCTGAGGGGGACCTCTAGCTGCCACAGGAGGTTACCAGTAAACCGCAACAAAACCAGCTCTCACTGTGCCTGGCTCAGTCTCCCGCTTCCATGAACATTACAATTCATCCTCCTCAGAGGAAGGCCACACAATGGGAAAAAAAAACCCACCATCATCAAGACGAGAGGCAGCAGAGGGAGCTTGTACAGAGCCGCGACCTGGGGGCAGCAGAGCCTGGATCCCCAGCCCAAGCTGTTAGCGTGGCAGCAGCCAAGCTGAGAGGACGAGGCAGCCAGCAGCAGCCTGGGGCGGATCATTTCTTCCTTCCCCGTCACACGCCGTAATGGGCTTGGCCGCGTTTCCAATCCCCCGGTCGAGCATTGTCCCAGCTCCTCCTGCAAGCTGCCATCCCGGCTCGCGAAAGGGCCTTTCCCTCCCCTCCTGCCAAGCCAGGACGACTCGGGAACAGCACGTTCACCAGTCGCTCGGTCCAAGGCTCCTGCTCAAGTCACTTAAGCTTTCAGGAATTCTTTCCCAGCCGCTGACTAAGCGGGAGGGAGACATTCCCTCTCTGCTTTGGAAGGGGACTTGGGCCCAGCCCTGCCTTCTCCCCGACGGAACTTTGCAAAGTCCAGTTTGGAAAAGAAAAACAACCGCTCCTGTCCGGGCTGCCGCTGGCTTCCTCCTCCCCCCCAGCTGCGAGAGAACACAGGCAGCCCCTCCCTGCAAAGACAGCATTGCAGCTTCAGGGGGGGGTTCCCTTGGCACTTACCAGCATACGAACACCCCCTTATCTATCTGCCCCCGGAGAGAAAGGAACAAACAACATCCCTCAGGCATGTCTGTCACGCCCACAGAGTGCCTGACGCTGATCTCCCTGACGCCAGGGTCAGCCCATTGACTTCACTGGAGCTAGTCCTGATTTACACCCATCTACACCATGAATAAGCCCTACACCACTTCTGACCTGCGCAGTGCCGCCCCCTGGAGAGCAGCCTGGGTCTCCGTAGGCTCAGTCAGTCCTAGGCCTGTCTCCTGAGACTGCTAACAAGGGCCTGGGATGGGTTTGCACTGGTGCCCACGGTATCAAAGCCTCTGCCCCCTTGCAAAGCATTCCAGTCTGTACGCAGCCTTTCCGTGCCAGCTGCAGCCAGACAGTGGGCTGATGGCTCTGGAGGTTTTCAAACAACCGCCACCCCTAAAGCACTCCTGTCCAGCATTGTCTTACTTAGGGTTCTTCTTTCTCATGTGGTCTTTACCTCCCTCCCCCACAGATCTAGCATGCACTCAGGGAAAAGGACAGACTTCGTTCCAAAGGGAGCAGAGGGCACCCCACATGATGTGCTGCCTGGCCAAAAATATCCCCGTTCAGTTCGTTTACGTGTCACGGGAAGCAGAAAGGACCCCCAAGATTCTCCAGTGGCATTTCTTTCCTCTCCCTCTCCGCATGGCCTGCCCTGCAATTTATAGCTACTTACTGGTTTTGAGCCAATGTTCAATCCAACAGAAATAAATAGCCAGGCTGCAGGGTGTTCCTGGGGGTTAACAATGGGCTAGAAGGAGCTGATGGCCTATGATGTAGCTTACGGACCCTGGGCAGTCATTAACTGAGCGTAGGGTGAGGCTAGTGGTCCAAGCACAGGCCTACGCACCAAGAATGCCCAAGTTCTAATCTTGGGCCAGACACAGACTCTCTTCCCTCTCGGTGCCTCAGTTTCCCCACCTGTACAATTGAGGATAATAATCCTGCTCAGCCTCACAGTGGCACTGTGAGGACGAGTTAATGTCCGTTAAATGCTGGAAAAGACAGAGTGCCGCTCTGTAATAATAATATTCCCCAGAAAGGATCTTCCCCAAAGCCTGGACAGCATCTGCACATACATGTAGCTCCTAGGAAAAAGAAGGGTGTGCTGGCCCTAGGTTTGAGCCACTCAGAGTCCAGGCAGGTGCTGTGCAAATGCTTGCAGATGGCTTTGCTAATCCATCCCTGCTATTCTCACCCCAGCTCTGCCAAGGCCCCTCAACCCGGCCCTTCAGCACCCTTCATTAATCCAGCCCTGAGCCTCCGCACAGTTCTGCTGCTGCCATTCTGCCCCTCGCTGATCCCAGCCAGTGCTGTTCTTGAGCCGAAGCTACCCGCCGATCACATGGAGTTTTGTGGGATGGGCACAGCCATGGGAGACTGGGCAGAGGGAAGGAGGAAACCGGACCAATGGTGACTTACGGGAGGAATTGACTCAAGGCTGAGCTTCCCCGGGGATTAGTCCTGCTTTGAGCAGAGGGTTGGACTAGATACTTCCTGAGGTCCCTTCCAACCCTGATATTCTATGATTCTATGATTCTAAGACCCTGCTCTTACCTTCAGCTCCTGCATGGTCAGCTCTTTGCCATGCTCCTTGCCGCTTTCTATCAGGATGTCCAGGGCATCGGAATAGTCCTTGCCCTGCGTGTTCTGAAGCTTCTCCCGAATGGCTTTCTCCAGCCCCTTCTGCAAAATCTCCCGAGCTCGGATCCCCTGCAAAACAGCAAGCCGTCGGTCCATGAAATAGCCACGCAGCAGCCACGGCATCACAACGGTTCCTCAGCTCTGGGGCTCCCCGAGGAGTTGGCATAACGCTAAACGAGTGTTTAATTGGCCCACAATTAGTCAGTCACCAGAGGGAGAACTATAGATGGACAGTGGGACGGAAAACCTTTCCTGACAAAAATCTGGGAATGGCTGCGTTACGCACCACGGATGGAAGCTGCATGGGTCATTCCAAACTCACGGGTAGCGTCAGCGCTAGAGATTGGACTATTGGCAGCTGGCCCAGAACCAATGCAAACACAAATGGCTCATCGTGCCCACGTTAGCCAGGCTAACCTGGTCCAGAACCACTGCCAGGTACATCCCTGTTCCATGCTAGAACTGAGTTGTAAAGCCCGCTGGGGATCTATTGCCAGCGAGGCTTCTGGGAGACTTCTAAAGGCCAATGGTGCATCGTGACATAGCAAGAGGCATATTTTGGAACCGTTTGTGCTGTTCCACCAGTGACCTATGCGCTAATTCAAACAGGAATTAATTCATGGAAGCCCTATACCCTGTGCTATGCAAGAGGTCAGACTAGGTCTATGACTTGTATCCACATTGTTACTATCTAGGGGCAGGATCTGTTGAAAGAAGGCCTGTATTTGGCATAGGAATACGCTGTTGCAGACAAGTACTAGGCATGTACGTACCCAGTTCAAACCACTTGTATGCATGGACACAAATTGTTTTACAAGCATGCTGGAACAGCTCTTAGAACAATACAATTCTCTATTGCAGACAAGGTTATGCCAATCAAATCCTTATTGTACCCCCCAACCAGCCTGAGCTCTGAATGCGCCACATGACACACAAACTAGCTATTTGGGGAATGCTAGAGAGTCTTAAAAAAAAATACTGGGACTGTTTCTTGTAACCTCCTCGCCTATAAAGCAGGTGCCTTAGTTACCACGATTCCAATGAAATGTCAGACTTCAATGCCGCAGCATCACTAGATACAGAAAACCTGCCACTTTTGCAGGGCTGGATCTTGCATTTGGGGAGGAAACATTTCTGAGGAAGGTTAATTTGTTTTTTTTAAAGACAACTGTTGGAAGTTGCTCAGGGGGTTGAAATCCTAGAAAAATCAGTCCTGGACAAAAGTCTCTTTGACATGAGGGGCATAACTCCAGATTTACCCCAGTGCAGACGAAGGCCCCAAATATGCAAGATTCCACAAAAGTCTAATTGGCACCACCGTATGAAGGTTGTGTTTTAAAGTGAGAGCCACAACAATTATCCCTAATGTTTGCCCCCCCTCTCTCCCCACTCCTTGTCCCACAAATCTTTAGGAAACTTTACCTCAAAGGAATGTATCCAATTCCTCTGAAGGAGTTCTCTTCCCGAGAACCCAATCGAATTCCCAAACTAGCTCTCTCACTGAAAGAGTCTAAGCTTTGCAATGGCGCTGTGCTCTTATCTAGTGTTTTTTCTGCAGAGAATCTGAAAAGTGCTTTAAAAGGCAGGCTGACGTCTGTATCCCCAAGTTTAGGGCAGGTCGGAAAATGAGAACTATTGCAACGAATTTCGAGAGAAATGAAGAATTTTCATTGCTTTCTAAATTTTCTGGGCTTTAGTTTTTGAAAACCAATTTTTTCCCCCTCAATGTTTCATTCAAAGACTGGGAAGAAGCTAGAAATTAGGAAAAGGCCATTTTTTTCAGTTGATGGATCCGTTCTATCCCTTTTCCACAGGGGAAAAGGCGGGGCAGAGCGAGGTCAAAGGACATGCACTCGGACAATAATGGCAAAGTCACCTGTCAAAATAACCAGAAAAGCCACCACCTTATCCTCCTTTATATTGAGCTGTACAGCTCCTGGCACAAGGGAACCTTGATTGGCATTCCTAGGCACTAGCGTAATATATAGATTAACAAGGAAAGCCAAGCATAGGATCTCAGGCCCCTGCCCACTGGACCTCACTGCCTTCTCCTTCAAGGCCAGAAATTTCTGGTTCCTTCCCACCTCCACCATCTAAGTGTGGCCCTCATCACTGCAGTATCTGAGCGCCTCCCAATCATTAATAGATTTTATTCTTGACACCCCTGTGTGATGGGGGCTATTATCCCCCATTTACAGATGGGGAACTGAGGCACAGTGACTTGCCCAAGGGCACATAGGAAGCCTGTGGCAGAGCCAGGAATTCAACCCAGGTCTCCTGAGTACCACTTCAGTGCCAGATCCACTAGACCATCCTTCCAAGCTATGCTCAGTGTCGCTAGCTCAATGTCATGGCCATACGCAGTGCTAGAGGAGCCTCTTACCCTCCTGTAGCCACTGAAGGGCAGATCCACGGGCAGCGAGAAGACGTTCTCCACAAACTGCTGGTAGACCTCGAAGAGTCGGGTGAGCTCCTCATCAGAGATGCAGAAGCCCAGCAGGACACGGATGGCCATGCGGAAGGTGAGCTTCTGCGCCTCGTAATAGACGTTGATGGGCTCCGGGGTGCTGCTCCACATCCGGAGAGTATCCTGGATCACTAGCTGGATCTTCGGGAGGTAACTCTCCAGAGCTTCGTGGCTGAAGATTTTGGAGAATACCTGCAATACAAACCATACATAGACAGAGATGAACCCAAGGTCTTCCAGCCTTCCCTAATAGCCAAGTATTGCTTGCGTTAAATGGTGTCTAAGGGCACCAGTGGAGAGCAAGGATCACATTATGCTAGACGTTGTGCAGACAAGCAGTATTACAAGTTCCCGGCCCCAGAATGCTCACAGTCTAAATAAGCAAGTCGGCAAAGGGTGGGAGGGAAAATGACTTCCCCAAGGTCACTGAGTAGGTCAGTGGCAGAGCCAGGAAGACAACCCAGTCCAGTGTCCAATTCCACAGCTTGTGAAAGACCCTCCAACAATAAACCAGCACATGGGCAACCCTACAATCACCAACTAGTATGCCAAGCCCCAGCGCTCAGGAGTGACCCTACAATAACAAAGCAGCATGTGAACAACCCTACAATAACAAACCAGTGAGAGAGAGAGGAAAGTCTATGTCAACAGACAGCATTCTTCTAAACTCTGCAATTGAGCCAGCCCCCCCTTCTGCTACAGGGCCTGTATTATTGTGCGAGGACCCCAGCAATGCAAGGAATGTTCTCTGCTCTCTCCCCGCATCCCTTCCCCTCTGCTATAATCCCAGTTGGCTAACTCCACAGCACACGCTTTCATTCTGACCCCCCCGCCCCGTCTCCCAGAGTGCATGGGTGGAAAAGCGCTGTTTGTTTACTTTTTATTAACTCTCACCCACGCTGCCACGCTCCGGGCCTCCAGGAACCGAGAAAACAAAATCAAATCAAGCCCCCGTAGAGGGAAGCGCGCGCCAAGGTAAAGGTCAGACGAGACGGCGCAACCTCCTCCAGCTCCTGCCGAGGAGATGAGAGGGCTTGCCGGGAGGGAGGGAGGGAGAGGCGGGTCCCCATTTTATCAAATTTAAAAAAAGAAAAACCCCAGCCAAAGCCCCTCCACGAACGTAACCTTTCAAGCTGTAAATGTGAGAATTTCCCCCGCAGTCAGCACTGGAAGGGAAAGGTAACATTTTCCTGGCCGTGACCCTGCATTGCTAATGCTCGGCGTCGCTCGCTGGAGTTTGTTTGGTGAAATAACACCCCTGGCCCTTTAAAGCCTGGCCCTGGAGACTCAACAATCGCTGGTTCATAAAGTGCTCCAGTCCCTACACGTACTGACCTTCATGCGGCGCGCTGGGCGACAGGAGGGGCTTTTCCCTAGGAGCAAAGAAAGAAATGAAGGAAGAGCCCACGGGGCCAGCAGGCTTTGTGGCTGTTAATAAAAAATATTCTCCAGCCAAGAGCCGGCGGGGGAGGAGGAAAAGCAGACGGGGGGATGAGAAAGAGCCGAAAAGGGCAAGAGAAATGGATTGATCTTGTCCTGCTTTCTGGAGCGTGGAGCCTGCCTGGCCCATGGCACTTTGGCTTAGTCTATTTTTAAGCCCTGGAAAGAGACGTGTGTGGGTGGGTAAGACACATTTCTAAAAACCATAGCTAGTAAACCTGACAACACAGCAGCCCCGCCAAGCCCAGCCGCCAAGCTTCCCCCCCCGAGATCCCCGAATGCCCGGGCTGCACCAAACGAAGACGAGGCCTCCCCCCGTTCATGCTCCTCCAAGATCCACCTGGGCCAGGGCAAGCAGGGAGGGAAAAGAAATAAACAAGCGTAGGCCGGTTCCAGTAGCTGGGAAAGAGACATTTCCCTGGTGGCCGTGACCGGGACATCGGGCTTTGATACGGCGCCAGGTGCAGAAATGTTGGCGTCTCTTAGTGATTGTTGGCACCCGGATCCCAGGCGCTACTGCGCGGTGGAAACCTCTGCCACCATAACGCAGAAGGGGAAAGAGGGGTGTATTTCTGCCTTCCCCGCCTGGTACCGCAGACAAATTGCTAGAGCTGCCGAAGGAACCCCCAGGGAGAACAACCAGTGACAAGGGCGGCCTGGCAGATGCCAAAGGTTCAACCCCCAGGCTCCTTCTCTTGAAAGAAGCTCAAGCGATCTTGGCTCTTCGTGATGTTGTGTTGAGGGAGAGTAGATTTGGTAAAGCGGGATATGGCCCAGCCACACGGGCCTGGGCATCAGGAACTTCTGAACCCAAATCTCCGGCTGTTGCATACAAGCAACTCCCCTAGAATCAGCCCCTGATTCTGACACTGATGCTTTACGAGAGCTCGGACAAAACATTTAACCTTCCCCGTGCCTCAGTTTCCCCCATCTGAAACCCGGGACTGATACGGCATTGAATGAGCTGGGGTTCAGGCTCCAGACTAGGACTCCGGACACCTGGGTTCAAGTCCCTGCTCCACCACAGACTTCTTGTGTGACTGTAGGCAAGTCACTTAATCTCTCTGTGCCTCCGTTCCCCATCTGTAAAATGGGGATAATGACACTTCCTTCCTACCACCTTTTTCTCCTGTTTTGCCTATTTAGATTTTAACCTCTTCAAAGCCGGGACTGTCTCTTACCCTGTCTCTGTGCAGCCCCCAGCACAATGGAACCCTGATCTCAGCTGGGGCCTCTAGTTGCTACTGGTGTGCAAGCAATAAACCACAACAGTGTGTGTGTGTTACTGCACACCACTGCCCTTTCCTGGGTGGAATCAGGACTGCTGAGCTGTGTGCCATAGTCCCCTTACTGTGCCTGTGGATGCATGATTCTCCTGCAGGGAGCATGTGCTTTGGAGCAGGAGCCCCCAGTTCTACCCTGGGGGTCATCGTGAAGCTGCAAGTGATCGTGGTTGTGCGGCGCGGTGGGAGGGTTAATGTCCCTTTGCAGGCGAAGAGTGCCGCCTACTGCGGAAGACGGCTATTTGTATAACCGCCTCAGTCCTACAGCCGCCAAAAGTACTTTTCAAACCCTAGCCCTTCAAGGGATCCCTTCTATTTCACCACCACCGGCAGGCTGGCTAGCGACGCAGAGCGACACTGCTGGGAGTCCTTCCCATGTTCCATTGGTCCGTGGCCCGTGTACCCGTAAGATAGGGCGCAGCACAAAAACAGACTCACTGGTACCTTCGTTAGCCACCCTGGCAACCAGACCAATGGATTATAGAGACAACTCCCCGCACACCCACAGGGCAGGTTCGAGGCACATTGGTGGGGTAGTGGATGAGGGAAGCTACCCCGACTACTGTCCATGCTGTACCTATTCTCTTGCATACACAATACCCCCCACCCCCAATCAACGACGGTCATGGCAACTCACTAAGCAGCCAATATGCAAGGCGTTCTCTCCAGTGCCCCAGGGACGTCTGTCTGCATAAGAAGCAAGCTAGGTAGAACTGGATGCCTGGTGCAGGGGAAGGCACCCCCAGACCCGAAAGCACACTGGGCAATAGGGGAGGTGTGAATGCCGGAACATAGGGACGGCCAGACTGGCTCAGCCCCAAGGTCCGTCTAGCCCAGTATCCCGTCTCTGACAGTGGCCAGCGCCAGCTGCTTCAGAGGAAGGTAACCCGGCAAGAGGCAGCTGTGGGATCCTCCGCTCTCAGAGCACATCCCCGAGCGCCTGGAGAAGAGGGACTGATGTCGTCATTGAGCCCCGAGAGCTGTGCAAATTCCTGGGGCTCTAAAAGCGATTTGTGCCAGAAAATGCAAAAAAAAAAAAAAAAA